CAGTAAATTGAGAATATGAAATTGTTCTTTACAGCTGATATTACTGACTCACGTTGCAAACATTTTAGAATGATTAATCTGTCATAATCAAAATAATGCATCTCATGTGTTAATCTGTCCACAGTCTTTTATGCTATTCCTCTCAGGACCAACTGTAAAAAGTTGTAGATTTCTCTCTAGTAAAAGACCCAATAGCCAAAGACCACAGCTTACTAAATATTAGGCCCTCAGCTTAAACATTATCAGACCAAGGTAATAAATACAGCAAATTTACTGTATTTATATGTTAAAGTTTAATTACAAAGTAATTTTTCTTTAAATCGGTTTGCTAAAATCCCACTTAGACTATAAAGACTGGAAACACTGTTTAATTACAGGCTATACTTGCAGAAAGTAGTATCTCAGTATTTTTGTTTAGTTTTTGTTTTGTTTTTTGGTACCAGGGATCAAACTCAGGACCTTGCACTTGCGCGAGGAAGGTGGCAGAACCACTGATCTAAATCCCCGGCCCTATCTCAATATTTTAAAAAAGAACATACACTCACTCACACTGTTCTGTATTCCCAATACCCTATGCCACTGTAAATACAAAACTGTGACTGTGGCTTTACCTTCTCTGCTTCTTCTCTCTTAACAAAAGCCAAGAGCCATAACATAATTCAATACCACAGCCTAAGTAGACTTTCCATAATAAGTACAGTCATGTGTTTAACGATGGGTCCATTTTCGGAGAAATGTGATGTTAGGCAATTGCACCACTGTGAAAACATCTTACAGCTATCTGGTAAATCTACTGTTTCTAGGCTACAACCTGTATAGCATGTTACTGCACTGAGGGCTGTAACACACTGGTAGTACATGGTATTTGTCTATCTACACCTACCTCAATATAGGAAAGGCACAGGAAAAATACAGTATTTAAGACACCCTCTACAGAGCTTAGTGCACAGGAAATGTCTCTGGGTGAGTGGAGAGCATGAAGGCCTACGACATTATTGTACACTACTATAAACATAACTATACTGAGACTACATTAAACATAAAAATATTTTTCTTTCTTCAAAAATAAATTAACTCTGGCTTGTTATAACTTTTTGCTTTATAAATTTTAATTTTTTTTACTTTTTTGCCTCTTTTTAAATAAAATTTACCTTAAAATAAAAATATACTGTGCAGCCATACAAAAGTATTTTACTTTTTTGGGGGAGGGGGCTGCAGGGTACTGAGGATTGAACCCAGGGCCTCAGGGCCACTGAGCTACATTCCCTAATCTTTGTATTTTTTATCCTGTGACAAGATCTCATTACGTTGCTAAGATACCAAGGCTGCGTGGGGACTTGTGGCCCTCTTGCCTCAGCTCCTAGAGTGCTGACATCACGTGTGTGTGGTACCAGGACTTGCTCTTTACATTCTTATTCTCTAAGCTTTTTCTACTAGAAAATTTTGCTTAACTTCTGAAACTTTTTTGTTAAAAATTAATACACTATAGTGTAAGCCAACAAGGAGTGGGGCTCATCAGTATCAGGTCTTCCATCTCCATATCAGCCTCACGGGAAGGTCTTCAGGAGCAACACCACATGTGTTGTCTCCCAGATAGGATGCTGCTCCTTATCTCTACTGAAGGGCCTGCCCATGGCTTGTATTAAGATAGTACTTTTGTCTGAGATAGGTCCATGGTGGTTTACCTGACTTGTGGCTTTTCTTTCTCCTGGATTTGCTTGTAAGCAGACAATCCATTATGAACATCACTCTCTATTAATGAGTATCTCTCCGAGCAGGGAAGAGGACCTACCAAGGTCTGGAAGTTTCTGCTAACCCGTTCCTCTCACTTTGGTTTTACTGGGGTCTTTATTTTTTTTTCCTGCAGTTTCCCTTTATCTTGCTACCTTTTCCTTTTCAGCTCCATTATCTCAGGGGCCACTGTCAGATATGCAGTCCATCACTGATAAGAAACAGCATCATGCAGCACACCACTGTATTTTAAGCACCAAATTATTTTACTTCTGGCCATTCTGGCCTGTAAGTGACATTTTCTGCTTGTTTTTGTCTGAGAAAGACATCTGCGGCAGCACAGAAATCTGGAATATGCTCTCTGCACTCCGAAAGTGGGTTTCCCTATATAAATTTCTGGAACTGAGAGCCGTATGAAGGACTGGGGAGTGTGAAGAAGCCAAAACAGGAAGAAGTCACTCTGACCCACAAACTACGTGACCTCTCTGGGCTGCTGGAAGAGGCCAGGACTGCTCTGAGCTCTGCCTGCGCAGAAAGGAAGGCTCTTGATGCTTCCATCCTTCCGTCCCTACTCCATCGAGTCAGAAAAGCGAACACCTGAGCCTAATTATGCCAATTAGGTGCTCTCCTCCTTGGGAATTCAGAGGTGACTCAAAGTGGAGTCTGTCTGGACTGGTCCCTGGAGATGAGTGAAACCATTCAGGAGCTGTAAGCAGTCACCTCCCACACAAGCACAGGAAGTCATGCTGTGCGTGCAGTAGGAAGCAGGTGCACAGCAGCTGAGAGAGCAGAGTCCCTGGGCTCCTCCAGGTCTTCCCCTGTCTTCTCCATGCTACTTAGGAGGCCTAGCTCCATCCTTCAGCTTCTGAATGAGACACACCTACCTCCCACCTCCCTACAACTGATTATTTGATTAATTCTTAGACAGTTCCTGTTTCCTGAAGCCAAATTAATACAATGGATAAAGAGCATGCTGACCACTCTTTTTTAGTTCATGAAAACTGCTGAAAAACCAATTACTTCCTGCCGGAAAGTAAGCACTATTCTGCTGACAATGTGAAGAGGACCCTTACTAGGAGGGGAGGGGTAGTGTGTAGGTGAGGCCCAAACCAAGCTGAGAAGGAAGCTACCTTGAAATCTGAACGCTGTGAACAGTAATGTGGCCATAGTAAGAAACCTAGTATTTCCTGAGTGCTTTCCATGTGCCAGGCACTGTTGTAAGTTAGTCAGAAATATTAACTCATTTACCCTTCATAAATGAGCACCTTCTCTAAAAACTAGGAAGCAACATTATCTCATTTACAGATGAAAAATGTGAGGCACAGAGAAATCAACAGCTTAGTCAGAGCACTAGATAACTGTGGCAGCATCCCACACTTCTGACCACTGCGTCTCCGCCTCTCTGTTGAAGCAAAAGCAAAAGGGACAAAAAGCCCAGAGAAAGTAGCAAGACCTTTTCATCTTAAATAGCTGAAGTGTGCTGAAAAGTATCAGTTATTTAGCAACCCATGTCTTTCTTCAATAACAAAAATATAAATGGGACCTTTGAGCCAGGAAATAAAGTAGTTCTAATGAGTAATCACTACTCTCAAATCACCTTAGTAAGTATGTATCAAAACTACTGACAGGCAACTCCTGATCCGTCTTGTCTGTTTTTGTTTTTATTTGCAGGAGAGTAAGAAAAAGATTAATTCTACTGACAACTATAAATTACAACTAGTTGAGGGAAAAGACAGAGAATATAAGAAACAGAACTAAAAACTCCAGTAGCACAATTTTATGTCAACTTCAAATGGCTCCACATAACCCAACAGTATGAAGAGTAGCTCTGCGCAGAACACAGCTAAGAACCACAGCATTTCTGGTTAAAATGCTACAGGCAGGTAAGGGTTTAACCCAAAGGTGAGTGATAAGGAAGAATACTAGTAGTTAAAGGTGTAACTGACACACACTGCAGAAGCACTGAGTACTGCTGAACACGGAACATTTCCCTCTTGGTCCGAGCAACTTTAATCATTTAACAGTATCAAATAGAGCGCGGTTTGGTGATGCACACCTACAATCCCACCACTCTGGGAGGCTGAGGCAGGAGGACAGTAAGTCTGAGCCCAGCCTAGGCAACATAATGATGCAGCAAGACTGTTTCAAAATTTAAATACTAAAAGGGGGTTGGTGCGGGTGATGGAGTTTAGCGTGAAAGCCCTGAGTTCAATCCCCAGTATATTTTTTAAAAAATATTTCTCATGTCTACATTTGTAAAACATTTGGTTTTGTCATCTTTTTACATAGTTATACTTCATCTTTTTTGCCTAAAGCACATGTAAAACATAAATAGTAAGATTTTATTTTTAATTTTTCCTGAAGGCATATAAGGCACAACTGTACAGTTTAATGCCATTCATGTTCATGCTTGAAGACCTGTTACAATCACAGCTTTAAATTTTCAGTGACAATGAACAAACTCACAAAACTGAATATTCAAGGAATGATTTTACTACTTCTAGGCTGTTTCCCTGCTGCCTGACCCACAGATTTTGCCCTTAGCTGAGCTGTACTATCACTGCTGTCCTTTCATACAGTGCTTCTTTCCACTAACCACTAAGGGAAAAGAGAAGTGGAAACAAATGAAACCATTTTTCAGTTAATTTTAGTTTTGATGCTAAAAAAAAAGATTCAATAATCAAGCACTATTCTCGCCTAGGGTCGCATGTGATTTTAAAATTTTCTATTCAGATAAGTATAGCCTCTAAGAAATATTTTTCCTTGGATGAAAGATGTTTCTGCTATCATCTAAAACAGGTAATTCATTTCATTTAGACTACTAAACAGAACGTTATACAGACCCCAGACATATCACAAAGAAATTAAAATCCTTTCTAATTTCTTTAATTTTTATTCAACCACTAAAATCATCCCTAATTTGAAATCAGTTTTTAAGAAATGCAGCTAGAGTAAAAAGCATTAAGATGTGTTATGTTCATGTACCGACTCCCCATGGTGAATATAATCATTATGTATTGCAAACATGTACTAATAAAACCTTTTTAATTTTTAAAAAGCTTACATAAGTAAAAGTCAATTAAAAACTCTCACTACTTTTCCTATCTTTTCTGAAAATGCCAGGTAGTTTATCTTAAAACAGTAACCGTTACATTTTTAAATTAATATGTAACTGAGCATTAGCTCTTACCTAAGAATTGACAAAGCAATTCCTCTATTAAAAAGAATGTTCTGGAATCTAAATAGCAATGAGAGACTTGCGTACTTACCAGCTTCTCAATTTCTGATTCGAGATTCTGTATACAGTCAAGCTTTCTCTTTCGACAGCGCTGTGCTGCAATTCTGTTTTTACTTCTTCTGCGAATGTCATGGATACAATCCAGTTGTTCAGGGGTCAGTTTGTGCATTTTCAACAAGGATTGAAAATCATTTCGAGACAGGGAAATTATTCGTTGTGCATTAAATGGCAGTTTCACCTAGAAGGTGAAATAAACAGTAAGTGCTATTTTATAATTATTCTTAAACCTGAGAAGATTAAAAAAGTACCTCATTTTTATCAACGTGCTTAATTTAGATGTTTTAAATGGTCCCTATTCTCAGTTTTTATACAATCCACTATAATAAAAACTGATAGTTTGGTATGTCTAGCTTATTTGAGAGAAGACATAGAAGATAAACTGAGAAGCAAGTAACTTTCAGCAAATCACACACAATAATAAAACGGAATGATAGAATCTAAGATATTTTAGTATTGCATGTTAATACCCTATAGAGTTAAGTTTCTTTCTCAAGTATTTTAATATGTTGTTTCTCAACCCAAAATGAAATCCATTTTATTCTTTAAATATTACTATGTAGCACTGATTTAATATTGGTATAATTATACTAGTAATTTCTAAAGCATTTTAGAAAATTTATTTCTGTCAAAAAATGATAGCTTCATATATATCTCATTTTAAAAGCTACACATTATACGTGCCAATGTAGAAAATTTTTAAAAATCTTATTAATATTTTAGAGTCATTTTCAACCTACTTAATTTTGGAAAAAGGAAAAGATGACTTTTTCTTTTAATTAAGAATATTACAAGAGTTTAATTATGTTATCAAAAACACAAAAGGAATACTGGTCAGTTAGTCTGGCAACCTAATTAGTTTGCCTTTCAAGCTTACAGAAATTACTCATAGAAGGTGGCGGGGATTTAGCTCAGTGGCACTGCGCCTGCCTTGCAAGCGCAAGGTCCTGAGTTCGATCCCCGGTACCAAAAAGAAAAAAAACAATTACTCACAGAAAACCTCTCAGTGATGTTATTTTCTAATAACATTTTTTTCACAGTATAATTTTAAATGCTTAATTTATGTCATATAAATACAGATATAACCCATATGTACATATTATTTTTAAATTAAATCACCAATCTATTTCCAGCAAAAAAAGAAAACGGCCACTTTCAAACTTCCATCACCAAAGAAAATGCTGAAGAATGAGATATGGAAAAACTAGAATCCTTGTACAGTGGCAGCGTGAAAACAGTGCAACCACTACAGAAAACAGTTATGGAGGCTTCTCAAGAAATGAAAAATAAAACTACCATATGATCTAGCAACCCTACTTCCAGGGTTAAGACTTGGCATCAGTATCTCAGAGGGATATCTGCACTTCTATATTCACTGTAGCACTGTCCACAGTAGCCAAGATATAGAAATAAACTGAATAGCCAGGCACAAATGAATAAAGAAAATGTGGTGTGTATCACAAAGGAAGACTATTCTGTCTTATAGTAAAGAAAGAAATCTTGCATTGTGTTACAGTCTGGGTGACCCTGGAGGACATTATGCTAACTAAAATAGTTTGTTCTCTGAACAGAGAACAAACCCCACAGTATCACAAGAATGAGGCTCGCAGACATGAGTTATTTAAACGGTCAAATTAAGAGAAACAGAAGGGAGTGGTGGGTGGTACAAGGGGCTGGAAGAGGGAGAATAAGGAGTTACTTTACAATGGATAAAGTTTCATTTATTTAAGTTCTAGAGACCTGCTGTACAATATTGTGCCTGCAGTTAATGCTCTACTGTGCAATTAAAATTTTCTTACAAGGGTGGTTTTCACATTATCACAATAAAAAAATGAAATAAAATGCAAAGAAAAAAATGCAGTAAGATTTTTAAAAACTGTAAAAAGAAAGTATAAGTTCCAACTATAAAGAGAAAAGTCAACTTCAGAAAACTAAACAAAAATCCAATTTTTAAATACTTAACATGTTCACGACAGGGCTGTTTATTCATGTCTTGCTGCCAGGCAACTCTAACAACTGGTGGTATCCACATGACTGTCCCATAGAGTGGCTTTTTATTAATTTTATTAGTAAAAAGACCAATAAAAGTGATTAGATCCATTTGTACCACCAGTGCTTCAAGCTGGCCGGAATGAGTTAAAAAGAAAACAGGCCCTTATATGGGGTGTATTTTAGTATTTTATAAAAAGCAGCTATAGCTACATATAACTCATTGAGATATTAAGATTTTGTTAAACTAAAAGTTAATATGGCTAATGGAAAAAGAGGGCAGGGATTTAAAAAAAATTTAAAAAGCAATGGCCATGGAAAAACAGGTCCAAGAAAACTTTACGTTAGAAGTCACATTCCCACAATTACTCACTGCCACACGATGGCTCAGTGACTCACCCAGGTCCAGAGGTCCTGGTGGCAATGAATAATGCTGAATGCATGACACACTGCACCAGGAGCTGTCATGCAATGAAGGAGGAGTCATTATTCTTTTTCCTCTTGGGACATGACATTTGATTTAAACAGTTATATGGCCAGTGCATGAATCTACGCCATGGTTAACATAAACACACCTACTTGAAATGTATGAACCCAGAAGTCTTTTGAACTTCATTTCATTCTTCTGGAATTTACCACTTGGTCTTATAATTAACAGCATATGAGTTTCCTGCACCCTCCCTGAGCCTGCTCACATGCTAGTGGTGCAGCGGGAGCTGACTCAGGAAATCCTGATTAACGGTTGCTAGGACAATGAATTAAGAACACACCCTGCTCACCTCACACTCTTGTTCTCTGGCTGAGCAGGATTCACTGTCACCTTCAGTGTCTGTCTCAGAGTCATCGCCCAGGCTAATCACACAGGCATATGGACAAGGTTCCTGCTGTTCTGAAACGTAGCTGTCGTTTCCAATTTCCAAATTGCTTGAACACCCTTCGGTACTCAGAGTGCTCATAAAAGGGCAGTTGACAGAATTTAATGTTGTAAAAGTCCTCTGACCCGGTTCTGGGCTCTCGCTGATCCTGATACCTAACCAGGGACACTCAGACCGTTTCTGTGAGTAGAGCTGTTCTGAGCCATCTTTGGCCACAGCAGGTGATAACTGCATTTGGCAAGGGGAGTCCGTGCTGCAAATGTCACTCCAGAAGCCCTTTGCTAGGTGTTCTGCTACTTCTCGTTCTACGCTACTCCGATCGCTGGACGCGAGGCTGCTGTCTTCCTTGGGGCCTGAGTCATCTTTCAAATGTAAATCTTGACTTTCACCAAACGTTTTCTCTTCTGGAACATCTGTACCTGATAAAGGCTTTTCTGTTTTCACTGCTGAGTGTTGCATACCAGCAAAATTCAAGTCACTGTATTGGTCATATGTGTGTAAAAGAGACAGAGAGTAGAGCCCATGAGGGTCTGCAGAACTGCGAGGGAAAGGAGTCACTTCTGCTTTTTCTGCTGGGACCTGAGAAGCAGGATCTTTCTTCTTTGTGGCCTCGTGTTCCATTGCTAACTTACTTTCTTCACATTTTAAAATCACTTGCAAATCTGCACAATACTGGACTGCCCCTACACATTCATTTTCGGATGTCTCATTCGTCTGAACAGAAGTAGCTTGAACGTCTTTGACATTGGATTCCACACTGCGGACACGGTCAGTCCCAAACGCCTTCTGAAATTTTCTGTATTTGGGGCATAAGGATGGCAATGCCAGAGCAGCATTCCTTTCCATGCACATGGATTCATATGTTTGGCTGGCACTGTCCTGTAGGGGAGGTGATGTTTTTACATCTCCTTGATACCTTTGGAGATTACAAAGAGGAGCCTGAACATTTTTATCTTCTAGAAATTCCTCTACTTCATCTATTTCGAGGTCCTTCTGGTCCGAAAGTGAAAATTTAAGGTCTGTCTTCTGACAGTGTGATTGAAAGCACTTTTTTCTTGGGCATTCTTGCTGGTCTGCAGTGGAGTCTAAAAACTTGTATTTGAGAAATTGAAAGCAGGATTCCTCGATATTGTGTACACTTAAAAATTCCACACACTTGCACACTTCATCCACATTGTCTTTACTTAAAATTAGTTTAGCAGTATAGGCAAACTGAATTAAAGGTTCAAATCCTTTAACTGTCACCTGTTAATATACAAAATAAAAGTAACATTACTCGAAAACGCGAATAGAGACATGTGTAACATATCTGTAACAATTATAAAATAGGTATTTTAATTTGGTAAGAAAAATATCTGGCTAGGAAATTAAGGGAGGCTACACACACATGCTTATCACACACTATCCACTGGAAATACACCCTCCACTTTATACATTCCATTCTTAATCACACATGAGTTATGGTTTACTCCCATGATCTAGAGACAATTTTCCTATGACAGAGGAAATAAGCCATCTATGAAAAGTAGGATGGATTCCACATACAACCTATATACAGGAAGAGTCAGGTGTCTAGTAGGCCAGCTCCATATGCCCATGCAACCTAACTACTATAAACTTCAAAAGTGGAATTTTTAAAGATACAAACAATTAAGTAAAGCATTTACAAAGAATTCCATTCATGGAGTAAGTGGTAACTACAGCATCTCACAGCAAGAATTTCTAATAAAATTTTAAAAGACTAAGATTTTAAAAGTGATCTAAGTGAAGTTCTAAGAACTCTGTCTCAGTACTGTTTCTGCATGGATTCTATGTAACAGAGCCTTCAGGCAGAAATCTGCACATAGAAGCTGGCAAATGGAACCTGCTCCAGTGCAGAGCAAGCTTCGTCCTACATTACTTGACAAAATTATTTTTAAAACACTGAGTTCCTACAGGAGTGACCAAAATATTTTTAATATTTGTGACTTTTTAAAACTCATGCTAAGCTTAGGAAATTTAACTAACTTTTAAATGGCTAAAATAAAAACAGTGAGACTGTCAAATGCTACATGCAGAAACTGCATCACTCACCTATTGCCAGTGGGAATGTGAAATGGCACAGCCACTTTGAATAAGCTTGGTGCTTTCATATAAAACGAAAATACAACTACCATATGACCAGCAATAGCACCCTTCATCCCCCGTAAGAAATGAAAACTTATGTTCACACAAAAAGCTATGCACAAACGTTCACAGCAACTTTATTTGGTGTAGTCAAAAACGCGAATTAGCCTCATCTTCTTTAATATATAAAATGTTAAAAAAAACTCCACTGATAACATTAATACTAAACTACTACTCAGCAATAAAAAGGGACACACTATTGATATACAACTCTCAGATAAATCTCGAGAGAATTATGCTAGGTGGAAAAAAGTCAGTCTGAAAGGTTACATATTGCATGAGTCCATTTACATAACATTTCTGAAATGGCAAAACTTTGGAAATGGACAGATTAGAGGCTGTCGGCAATTAGGGATAGAAGAAGAAGGGATGGGAGTAGGAAACAAAGGTGGGAAGGAAGCAGACATGGTTACAAAGGGCTAATGCCAAGGATCCTTAGATACTGGAACTGTTCAGTATTTTAACTATGGTAGACAGAAGAACCTCCACAGAGAATAAAATGATAAAATCTTAATATATATATATATATACACACACACAGAAATTAGCACAAGAAAAATGACAGCAATCTGAATACCATGAGGAGGTTGTACAACCTCCTTTCCCAGCTGTAACCTTATACAATATTTTTCTCAAAATGTTATCATTGGGGGATACTGATCAAAGTGGGAACTCTGCATTATTTTATATAGCTGTATAAGTATTTATAATTATCAAGATTTCAATTAAAATTTTTTAAAGTTAAAATAATCAAAATGGGCCTTTAAGCAGGTTATACAACAGGTTATACAACAGTGGTTTCAATCTGTTACTCTGATAAAAGACATCAAATAATTGAAAACTTGAGATTTATACTTCAAATTAGAATGAATACATAACATACATGCATACATACGTGTATCTTTCCTCACAAACTCATGAATTAGACTTTGTTCTGATTAAAAAGTTTCATTCAGCAATTTGAAAATATGAACCATAATGATGAGTTTGTCTTCATTATGCTTTGGGTTCCTTTGGAAAAAAATCAATGGCTAGTCTATAATTGGTCTTCTTTGTCATTTCTTGGTATTCCCTCCTTCACTCTGATTCTTGCCACAAAAGTGATAAATATTCATTCCCAAAACATAGCCAAAATTTCATGGAAGTATGTATAGCTAACAACAATCTACACGGTAATTTAGTTTACAATTTATCTAATGGTATCCAACAGGGAACATCTCACACAGATAGGGCATACACAAGAAGTTCCACACGCTTTCACTGTATTCCCCTTATTCACTTCTGGGTCCCAACTGCACAGACTTGACACTCTGCTAGCAGCAGTTAGCAACTAAACAAAGCAACCTGTTTGAGTAAGAGTCACTGTAACCAGCACTCCTCTGCCCAAGAGAGAGATCTCTTGGAGCCAGGACATTAACAAAGATGCAAATATTTATGAGCTTGAGCTTCACAACAGCCTAGGGGAAAAGATGTATGGACAACCAAGACTCCACAAATAAGACACAATTTCTTTTTTCTACCAAAACATAAAGACACTCTCAAGGAGAAAGAAAGAGAACACTTATGGAGCACCTACTTTTCACGGGAGAAGATCTTGGGAAATGATTCATGGGACCCTAAACCTAGTCACAGTTCCCCATCTCAAGACAAGGTCCAGAGGGACAGCAAGTCACACAGCACCATCTCTCCAACCATGACTTTCCAAATGTCTAATGCTTGAGTGTGCCCTGACTTGAGTCATTTTATTCAAAATAACCTAACAGTGCCTCAAGTTATTCCACTGCTCAATAAATACTAACATCCAAAATTAATCATTTTAGATGTAAATGTAACCACTGCTGGGAAAAAAAGACAAAGAAATGGATTGCTGCAGAAACTAAGAAATGTTCCTCAGCCACCTGACCAAAGACTGCTTTATTTCTAACTTTATAAATCAAAAAACTTTTGAATAAAATTAAACTACAATCACAAGAAACATGGACCTCTCACCTCTTCTGGGAGAGTAATGCTGAGCTCCGCATGAGACTGGCCTATGATCCTCGAGTGGAAGTAACTGCTACATGCCGCCAGCACTGACCGGTGGGCACGGAACTGCTGGTCCTCCACCAAGACAGTGACATCGCACAGCACATCCTTCTTCCGCTGCTCGTTGAGGCTGAGCAAGATGTTGGTGCTGTGCACCGAGGACTCATAGGCAAACACTGCGTTCTCACTCAGAGACATCCTGCACAGGAGGTGGTGTTGGGAAGTGCAGTGGAAAGCATGCTTCTAATCGCTGGCAACCTGGAAGACACACATAAGGTTTCACTTAAATAACATTTTGTCTCAGAATGGTTTTTTTAATCATCCATTTGTTACTTTTTTTTAATAAGAATCTTTTTGGTTTATGTCTTGTACTCTGAGTAACAACTTTGAAGATAACGGTACACAGTGTATTAATTATTGTTATTCTATTATTTTGTTAGGAAATTTGGTTTTAATTTTTCATAAAATGAAGTAGAAAAACATGGTCAAGTGTCAAGACACAAAATCAACACACAAAAATCAATAGCATTCCTATGTACCAATGAACCCACTGAGAGAGAAATCAGGAAAATAATTCCATTGACAGTAACTTCAAAAAAATCAAATATGGTACTCAACCAAGGAGATAAAAGACTTCTACAATGAAAATTAGAGAAAAATGAAAGACATTAGAAAATGGAAAGATTTCCTGTGTTCATCGGTTAGAACTATTATTGTGAAAATGGCAATATTACCGAAAGTGATCTACCAATTCAATGCAATCTCTATTAAAATACCAAAAACATTCTTCACAGAACTAGAAAAAACAATCCTACACTTCATATGGAATCAGAAAATATCCAGAATAGCCCTGAGTACACTTGAGCAAAAGAATAATGCTGGAAGCACCACAACACTGGATCTAACATCATACTAAAAAGTCATAGTAGCAAAAACAACACGGTATTGGCACAGAAACAGACAATAGACCAACAGAAGAGAAGACACCGAAACAAACCTACATCCATCTCATTTTTAACAAGCAGGCCAAAACATGTACAGGAGAAAGCACAGCCTCTTTAACAAACGGTGCTGGGAAAACTGGATATCCACTTGCAAAAGACTGAAACTAGATCCCTATCTCCCACTCTGTACCAAAATCAAATCAAAACAAATGAAAGAACTAGATATAAAATCACAAACTTTGAAACTGCTGGAAGGTAATATAATAGAAACACTTGAAGCCATAGGCAAAGACTTCCTGAGTAGGACTCCAACAGCACAGAAGATAATGTCAAGAAATCAACAAATGGGACATCAAATTAAAAGTCTATGCATAGCAAAGCAAACAACAGAGTAAAGGGACAACCTTCACAATGAGAGAAAATCTTTGCTAGCTACTCTTCTGTTAGAAGATTAATCTCTAGAATTTATAAAGGATTTTTAAACAGCCCAATTAAAAATGAGCAAATGAACTGAACAGCATGTCTCAAAAAAAGTACAAATGGCCAAGAAGTCTAATGAAAAAAATGCTCAACAGTTTTAGCCTTTACAGAAAAATAAGTAACTACTCTGAGATTTCATTTCACCCTAATCAGAATGGCTATCATCAAGAATACAAAAAACACTGAATATTGGCATGGATGAGGGGAAAAACAAACCTTCCTACATTGTCGGTGGAAATATAAACTAGTCATATAACCTGTATGGAGATTTCTCAAAAAACTAAAATTAGAAATACCATTTGATCTAGCCATAGCCCCCCAAAAATAAAGACAGCATACTATAGTGATACATGTATATCCCTGTTTATAGGAGCACAAATCACAGCTAAGCTGTGCAAACAGGCTAGGTGCCCATCAGTCCATGAATGGATTTTTTTAAATGTGGTATTTACAAAATAGGAATATTAGTCATCCAAAGAATGAAACCGTGTCATTTACAGGAAAATGAATGGAACTAAAGACCATCATGTAATACAAGAAATAAGCTAGACTCACAGAAATAAACAAATGAGAGATGATAGGAAACTAGAAGACAGACTTGTGTAGAGGCTGAAAGAGATGGGGGGGTAGCTAATGGGACAGAAAATGGGCAAGACATGTTCAATGCATGTACTAATTTCCCAAAATTTAATTATATATTACTAACATGTTCTAATAAAAATATTTTAAAGACCAAGTGTCAATATCAATTAAAATACACACTCATCACTGAAACAAAAACGAAAACAAAAGCCTCCAGGAGAGCAACCTAGATTTACTCAATACATCTCAATTAAACTCAGTTCTAAGCAGCAGTTTTTCTAACTAATTTTATGGAGTTTGGGGGGATAGGGAGAAACAGGTCTTTGAACCAAGGACTTCTTGGCTCTCTGAAAATGAAAACAGTTCACCTAAGAAAACACTATGAGCAGATAAATGGGGCCAGGAATTTTGGGGTGGCACCTCAACCCTGGACTTTAAGATACCAAATGAGTAGGGAGAGTGGGTCTCATTTTAGGAGGGAAATAATGGGCATGCCCTATTTTCCAGTCACTGACAGGTGGTAGGAAGGGTCAGTGCTGAAATCAGGGGGATGCTATTCTATACAAGGTAGAGTTCTTCCAGCACCAGAAGAAAACGGCTCACTTTTGTCAGGCCACATCTTAGTAATCAGTCATTTTATATACAGCAAGTCTTACTTTGCATTACAACAGGCAGGTAATACTACTTTGTCATTAACAATATTGATTTATCATAGGTAGAAACTCTTGGTTTTCTCAAACTGTTACAACATAAGAGAGAATTTTTAAAAATATACGCTAAAATGTATTAGCCTCCAAACATTTTGAATTACATATACAATACTGGCAAAAAAAGGGTACCGCCCAGTACATGTATGGTTTATCTACATTTCATACATGTATGACTATTAGTGATATACATATGCTCTAGAACACATGAAAGTTGAAAGAGGTTAAAAGAGAAGATCTAATATTTTCTTCTAGTGGCCCATGGCCTGTGTGCACGGCTCCAAGTGGTGGGTACACACACTGACAATCACACAGGTAAGTTCCTCACCCATACACCCCTTGCTGTATCACATCCGTGTCACTCACTTCTGAAACACAGGAGGCCCTCAAATGGTCAGCTGAGTGAGAAAATGTCACTCTTCTCAGATTTGCTATCCTCAAGACAAAAATGAAAGGAGAAAAATGAATTACTAAAGGTCACAAAGACCAGCCTCAGGTCATGGGCGGATCCCACCTCACAGACAGGCTGCTCCAAACTGCAAGCAATGCATCTATAAATTTTCTTCTACTTAGTGTTTATTTTTAAAGTCTTCAATATAGCTGAAACGCTAAGCTCCTCAAAAGCAGTCAATGAAAATAAAATATCTCATTATGTGGTTAAACTTTACCTAGGTTAAGGATCATAGCCTATCATTTACTGATGCAGCATACCACATGAAATCACTGTGACTTCAAAATGAAATATAAGAACAAATTCAACTTTTGGGTTATGCCTTTCCAAAAAAGTAAGTTCCTATTAGCAATTGCTCTTTGTAACTGAGTTATTAACACAAGGAATTAGTGTTAGGAATAACAGGGAGGAGCTATCACTCAAACAAACTGTTATCTTTTGTGGGTGCTACTACAAGGACACTGCCCTCCTCTTTCTCCAAAGCAGTACACATGGCCCAGAGCCTACTGGGTTCCCCAGCCAAGCCAGACTCATAGCCAACCCTGCCCTACTTTGTCCCTGCACCCAGGTCCCAGCGTCTTCCTTCCTGCCATCTGATTTACAGCCCTTTAAAAGTACAATGTATAACTCCTCATTCTGCTGAACACAGCACAGCCCAAAGACAGAGAAGGGGAATTCACACCAAGCATTTTTCACTATTCCATTATTCTACTTCCAATTAGTATTTGGTAAATGCACAATATAGAGACCCTGCAGAAGTGTGGACAGCAGATATTACTAAAAGATTTATGTTTGAGAACAAGGAAATGAGCCTCACAGGAAAATGAACTGGATCTGAGCTGCAGAAAGATGACTCTAGACCTTGAATACCTAAAGCCTGTTTGGATTCCAAGCGACTCCAGCAAAAACAGCTCCCATACCTTCCCCAGAGCTGCGGGTGGCTCACCACCATGCATTTGTTGTCTTCTGCTTTTCATCCTGACACCAGCTGGGTCACTAGTTACCTCAAATTCCAAGGGTCCACAGACTTGTTCAGGCAGTTTTCAGGGACAGGTCACCTCATGGCTTCCTGGCCAACTTACAGATTTACTCCACTTGAGCAAGACACATCCCAAGTCCTACCAGCTGCAGCTGAGATGCTAGAGAACTGGGTAGGTAAAACAGCCACCTAGGAGGAGTCCTCTAAGAAGGATCTGTCTCCTGTTAGTTAAGTGGTCTGCATGCAGCTCACACCATGACTGATGCTGCTCACATCAGAAACCTGGGACTCCTGACACCTCGCACAGCCAAGCTCATACATCTGATTTTTTACCACGTCCCGCACTCCATCTGCACTGCCACAACACTAAGCTATCAGCCCCTGCCTGCAAAAATGCTGTTTAGCTCACACATGCATAAATACAGTCATAAAATAAAAACATGAAACAAAGTTTCATGTATCAGTATTTTATCTTTACCATATATCAAGTATTCTGACATATATTCTAGAAAAACAATCCTAGCTGTGATCTACTCAATTTCAAGACCACTAATGGATCATTGCCCCACATGTTGAAAATGGGCCACTGGCTAACAGCTTACGGTTTAGAATTTTATGCTGTCTGGACCCAAATCCCAGCTCCAACACTTACTAGTTACATGACTTTGGCTAAGTGGTTTAACCTTAGCTATGTTTCAGTCCCCTCATCTGTAAAACAGGGTTAACAATACTGCCTCACTAGGATGTTGTGAGGTTTCAATGAGATAATCAGGAAGATGGGTTTAGCACACTGCTTGGCCCACAGCAAGCAAAAAATAAATATTTCCTGCTATTTAAGATGATGACAATGGTGATAACCAAGGCCTTAGACCCCCTAAAGCCCCTGCTGATTCCCTCTCATGTATTCTCTCCATACTAGTGATTTCTCCCTGGCTGAAAAACCTGACATTATCTCGCAAATTTCTTGAAAATCACTTCAAAATCCTCAACATGTCCTTAAGAGCTATGCAGTCCACTTTCCACATATCCACCAACCCTGTCTCAGGCCACCATCTCCCCCTCTTGCTGCTCTCCAGTTGCCTCGGCCTTCCTTCCAGGCCCGCAGGCACCAAGTTCCAACTATCCTTTCCCACAGC